CACCTGAAGTTCAGCAGCGATTGTGGCAACAAGCCGTAAATCGCAACATCCGGCAGGCAGCTGAGTCACCGTCGATGAAGCGAAAGCACGCCTCGGCTTTGAAGAAGAAAGTCAAACTGCGAGCCACTAAGTACAAAGAAACCAAAAGTAAATAAATCTCCATAACGTATAATGTAGCGCTTACTTCCGGCACACATATCCACCGCACACAAACTACACTACAGAACTGCATTTTGCCAGCGCAACGACCCATTGTGCTGCCTCGGATTCGCACTGCAACATGAGTTATGGACATGGACGTTGTGAGCACTTCCAGGGAACACATACCCTACACACATATACTACATTAAAGAACTACCTCTGGCCAGTTGCATGAGCCATTGCGGTGCCTCAGATTCACTCTACAGCCTGAGTTATGGACATGGACGTTCATTCCTATCGTATGCACTTTTATTCTACGGTATTCCTTATCACCATCCGATTATTTATGACTAGTACCCCGGAATATGTTCAGCTGTAGTGTCGTACCAACAATTCAGATGTAATGCAATTCCCTTTTTAAGTACCTTGATGCGAATCCACCTCATTCGAGACTCTACCTCAACACATGTGTTGACAGGTGGCGTCTGCTCTGTGGTTTTCAGCAAAATTTATGTGGCAGGAATGTGAACTCGACTTTAGGTGCATTGTAATCACGATTTAATTGGCTATCAAACTCAATCAGTCTAAATGCTGAACTCTAAGTTATACATTTAAAACTTTGATTACAAGAAAGTACCACTGTCAAAACGTATAAGTCCAAATCACGTCAGGAGGATAATTGTGACGACAACGGCATGAAATTGTCGCCTAAATCAAATACATCTTTAGATCCTTTTAGCAAGTTGTAAAATCAATTTTCGGACTTTAAACATCGGATGTGTAATGATGTGTGTAATACTTCGAAGTTCGGTTAAGTCGTAAATTTAGCGGTATGAGCTGGGAAAATCAATTTCCCAACCGACTTATAGCGACCAAGTCGAAAAAAGCCCGTGGGTTGGAGTTCAATCAACGATGCGGCGAAAGCACAAGAAACAAATATTGTGGACCGACGAGATGGTTGAGAGATATCTCAAGGAGGTTGTCCGGCTTGGCCCGAACGGTGTTGGTCACGGAAAGGCCAATGCAACGTGGGCAAATAGCACCTGTGCCCACGGTGCAGTGGCCATTCTGGACGCACCTGACAGACAATATGCGACCCGAATTCTCAACGAGTCGATATACTTGATTGCATATTCGATATGGGTATGCGGTCATGCTGCCTCAGTAGAGTTCAAAGTTTAAATCCGAGTGAGGTTTGCGGAGCTACCGGTACTACATAGTAGTAGCAAAGCAACTGGCACCGACAGGGTGGTAAATGCCATTGGTCTTTATCCGTTCGATTTCAGGATATTGAAGTACCACTTTCGAAGTGCGCGTGTCCATGTGCTCGAAGACAAGTTGGGAATTTGAACCAAAATAACGACTTGCTAAACACCTCTATTATTCAATTGTTCCCAAACACAAACCCAACCTTTCAGACACGCATGCGCTCACAACGCAACTAATGGGCAAGGCCAAGCACCCTCCGCAGATTGGGCCGTTGGTTGTGGCCAAGCACCAGGATGGCCAAACAACTGCTCAAATCGCACAAGTGCTCGTCCGTTAAGACGATGATCAAAGCATTCAAATCAACTGGACGTTTGCATGCCGCACCACGATCTGGCGCCCACGAGTGACCACTGAGTACGAATACCGTATTATTGTACGCACCGTGAAACAAAATCGTGGCCTCAGCGCGGAAACGCTACATGAAACGTTTGCAATATTGCACGACAAAGACACAAAGACATATCAAAGACAGCCACTCGTAATCGCATTACCTCTGCTGGCCTCAATGGTCGCGCAGCACGCAAGAAGCCGTTCTTGTCGAAACTGAACTGGAAGAAGAGCTTGGCCTTTGTCCAGAAACACCAAACGTGGACACCTGAGGAATGGTAGAAGGTTCTCATTACTGACGAGAGTCCCTTTAACCTTACCGGATCCCCGACTTGTCTTCCAATAAGTCAACGCCCCTATCCATAAGGCCAGCATTGTCATGAGTTCTTTGGACGAAAACGCTATTCAAACGCTTGACCATCGCTCCCAAAACCCAGAACTCAACCCCATTGAGCATGTTTGGGAACAAATTGCTCGAAAACTTCGAGTTTCGCCCGCATCTTCGCTTGGAAACCTGCAATTTAAAGTCGGGAAATTGTGGGATTAAATTCCGTTGGATTACATCCAAAATTTGATTCATTCTATGCCTAAGTGATTGCAAATGGTTATTGCAGCGAAAGGTGGCCATACGAAGTATTAATACTTACCGTGGTGGGCAGCATTCAGGGTCGGTTACTAATTGCATTATCTTTCACAGGAATATATGTGATGGCAATAGCCATTTCAAGTTTTGCTACCTCGGAAAACTTTGTACTCGTTAATTCATTCAACGCACAGAGGTATAAAAATTTAAGATTCAACAGCTTTATTTTTTACAGGTGCCACACACCATCGTCGTCGTCAAGGTCGCTGCTGGAAGTACTGCTGCTGCTGGCTCGAATGTCGTAGGTATCTTCGTCATTCTCTGAGGCACGACTGACATCATGCAGCTGTTCTTCATGCATCGTGACGTCTGCCTCGTCTGCAGCGTCCTGAAGACCAAAGTAGGAGTCGTGCAATTCGATAAGGCGTCTTTTCGATGCAGCGATACACCCATGGATTGTTGTAGGGGTGAGAAAGTCGAACGCAGCCGTCAACTGCTCGAGGACAACACGAAATGAGGTATCCACGTCATAATCGGAATGGTAAGGTGGTGTGTACAGGACCGTATGGCCCCGCGACTTGGCCATCACAACGACAACAGGTACGACGTGACTCTCAATGTGCTTGGCAAGTTTTTACCATAAAGCAATTTTAGCGTCCATCATGGCGTAGGGTACCCCGTATCGATCACACGAGTCTTGCAGTCGTGACTTGGCCCACCCGTACTTCGGAGTGTCGTCGGGTAAGCATTTATGGTATTTGGCATTGTCAATAACGATCACCATGTTTCGTTTGTTCAGGGCGTTTAATTGGTCAAGCAAAGTACCAAAACCAGGCCACAAAATATCCATGGTTGAACATGGCATGGTAGTCTTTGGGCTCTTTTCGGCGAATTTTTCCACCTTGGAAAATGTCGAGAGCGAGTAGCTTTGAATTGTCTACTCCATCATCTAATATCGCCCCAATAAAGCAATATCGTTGGCCTTTGTGCTTGGATTTTACTTGAAGATCTTGTTCGTCGTTTGGATCGTATAAACTGTCTTGGTGGTGAGCGTAGTGGTGTTGTATGTCAGACTCATCGAGATAAACCACCGGCTGTGGATTATCGCAAAAAATAGTCGACACCATATTCGCCACGTATTTATCGCGGAGCAATGCATTGTGCTTTACCAACGCAAAAGTCAGTTGACCCTTGACTTTGCCACGTTTGAAACCGGCACGAACCAGAAACCTTCGTACAGCACGACAAGCTGACAACCATTGCCCGCGGATTATTTGGGTCGACTTCGACAATGTTGTTTTTTTGCAGTAAAACTAACACGTCTTTTGCAACTGTTCTTGTCCGGGTCAAACGGCGTTCTCGCACGAAGGACTGAACAAGCGAGATGACCTTTCTTGTCATTGGAATACGCGTTGAATAGGTGTGTTTATTTGAGGGGGTGCCACCACAGAAATGGCCGCTGTGGCGTTGTATGTGCGCCAAACTTCTCTCACAACCTTAGTACTCCGGGCGAGTATGCGTGCAATATGGCCGGATGCATCTTCCATGCCTTCATGTCGAAAGTGGGCATGAAAACGTAAAATGTCGAGACGTTCTTCTTTCATTAAGTGAAGTTGCCCGAACAGAGCCTAATAAGGCCCTGTTAGGCTATGTGGGCGACTTTGCTTGACGAACCCGCAGATTTTGTCGTACTCGGCCTTGGAAATCGTCGGCGGTGGGCGGATCATGAAGTCCATCAAAATTGACAGGATACGTAACAACCCAAACTTGTAAAACATTATAATTTTATCTGGTAATTTTAAAAAATACTATGCAGGGTATAAGTACAAAGAAGTCAATTTGACAGTCATTCTTGATTTCTAAGAAGGATGTTTTGAAGGGTATTGCGTTTAACATGAATGCGTTTGCACAGTTCGATTAGCTCAACCAGCTGCATCGATTGACATGTCTCATGTCCACAAGAACTTGCTCCTTCCTTGTGAATGAGTAAACGACCCTGGTTGCTGCCCGTCACTGTTAATGACTTTTTGATTTTTTTTGCCTTAAGGAAATTAGACTTAAACTTTTGGACAGTAGTACTATTTTAGTTCTACGCTTAATTGTTATTGGTCAAAGCATTCGTCGATTTCATTCTCGCATTTGATTGGTTAACGCAGGAGCTTTCCAACGAACACTTTTGATTCGTCTCTCCATAATACCTTCCGAGAAATTCCAAAAATAAATGCAGCTGGACTTAACTTTCCGTGCCACTATACACTAAATTCTGATGTAAAGTAGAGCGAGGTACATTGTAGTACCATTATGTCCTACTCGTCATGTGGCATGGCCATTAGAAGGACGGCATGGGCCATGCCGTCCTTCTCGACGTGGCCAACATGATGCTACCTGTGATCGCTCCAAGTAGGACATCAAGTAACGTTAGGGCATTCATGTGCCTCTTAGACTCGATGCATCTATTCGTGAACAATACAGGTATTCACTCGAGCCACTTCATACTCCGCTTGCGATGGGGTCATGTGAGGTTATGCGGCACTCTTCCAGATAAGGCCTCGGTGACTATTTATGTTAATTTTATTCAATTCCAAAATTCATCCGGATAAAACATCCCCGCCTCGACTGCAAACCACCTTTGACCACACACAATGAATGACAAGCAACCCAATCACGTCCAGTATTGGCCCCGATTTGGGCGCGAGAAATAACCGGATAACGTTTTGAATGAATTCAGCCGGGGGTTGGTCTCGAGGGTGTACCGCTCATTCGACGACACGTACGAGCCAAACTTGTCCGACATGATTTTGGTAGCTGGATTGATACTTCAAAATCAACTCGGACAAAGTAGGCTTCGTCGGTCGTCGAATGTCAGAATCCCAAACCACTCCTTCGTCGTGAGTTCGACCACTCCAGACAGCCAACAGTCGGGATGCTGAATGCCGCGGTTGTACTTGGACTTTTTTCAACGACGTTTCGTCAATTTCGACGATCGATCCAACGCCGCCAATCTGACACAAATAATTGTCATTAATATTTGGTTGAATCTACTACAACGAAATCTTTAAAATAGATTTATATCTGACACAAATAGTTATCCTGAATATATATTAATTTTTGGCTGAATAAATTAAATCTATTAGAACGAAATCATTAGAGTATATATATATATGGATCAATGTAGTAAAAATTCAGTTTTTAATAGTACATAAATATTTATATGTATTTATGAGAGAAATATACATGATGAATGCATGCATACTGTAATAAGGTAAAGGATCAAGTGTTGACACTTTTTTTGGTCGAGTTTTGGGCGTGGCTTCATATTCCTAAAGCATCGGAGCTAAAACGAATGCTTTAATTCTGAAAGCATCCTAAGAAAATATAAAACGATCCATTTTTTTAATGCATCAATATGCATCAATTAGCACGGTTCAATATTGTTTCAGATTTGTATCGAATATAATTACTCACAGGCTATTGGTTTTTAGGTGAACCTAATTATGACACTGCTAAAAGAACTTGATCTGTGTATGTGGTTATTAAAATATGCAAAAAAAACATGATCCTAAATAGAATTGTATGCAATTCACCGCACAGAATAAAATTGCACCAAAATTTAATTGATCATAGTGACATATAATTTGATTGCATTTTTTGCAATCAAATTATATGTCACTTCTTTGAACGACCAGAAGCAGCATGGTAGAGTCCGTCACGAGTGTGCCACTCGGAGCGCGTCGTGACCCGCTTTCGCTTCTTCGTTTGCGGCAACGATGGTACAGTAAGCACTAGGGTGCGCTACTTTACGTATTGTGAATTTTTACAATACGTTTGTGTACGTAATTGTACGTTTCATTTTACTGTAAAGTGTAATGTATGTCAGTCATTTGAATTAACTATGTAGACTTTCGAGAAACTTCGTAAGGCAGTTGCAGTTACTCATGTATTGTATACATCGAAGTACAGGATAATTTAGAATCCTCCATACAAATACTACACCAACGGTCGCGTCTTCATGGGACGAGACGCTGCCGATGAAACCTCAGCCACGAGCTCATTTTTCAATTCTCTTCCACCAGCACAAGGCTTCGTCTTAAACCTGCGCTTCTGTGCGGGGGGCTGCTAAGGCCATTGACTTCTCCATCCCACACCTCGGTTCCTCTGATGGCACAGTTCCGAAGCGGGGATATAGACCGGGGCTGGGTTAACGGAGCTCTCGTCGATGGATTGTACAAAGGTTATCCTTTGCCTTGGTAGTCTAGACTTTAAACATTTGTGTTTTGGTCGGAAAATATTCCAGTTGGACTTCGAAGTAAATAAAACAAAATAGCTCGAGTACTGCGAATTATAGGTATTAATTAATAGCAAAATTACTAGTCTGAACAAAACAATTTTATGCAAATATACTAATTACTCCTCGTCTTTAGTTTCATCGTCGATATCTCAACCTCCTCCATCGCTTTCTTCTCCCATCATGACACTCACTAAATTTCCGCGAGAAGACCTGTCGCCATTCATGTACAGTTGGACCAGCATTGACACTTTGTCGGGGCTCAATCGGTTTCGTCGCTTGGTTAGGATGAAGTCGTAAATACTCCACACCCTTTCCGCCGCTGCTTGGGAAGTCGGTACGCTGAACACAATTTGAGCGACCACGTACAGAGCCGGGAACTTCGTCGATCCAACTTGGTGCCAATACGTCATCGGCGTCACACACTCCTCAATAAATGAGCGAGCCTTCGTCGACGGGTTTTTCATAGCATCCACAAACGCAGCGATCTCCACAAGAACGTGGTGGCGATCCGGGTTGATTTTCTTCTTTTGCACGATAAACTTCACCAGTAAGCGACTGTTGTCGTACAGATCATCTTCAAACATTCCTTCTCCGGATCGGGTGGCTGGATCAAGAAAAAACGCGAATCCCATAGATTCCGTATGAATGAACGCCCAGCGATCCATGACTAGCTCAGTCAACACCCCGTTGGAATGCCAATGCTCTCGCAGTTGAAGGAATACACGGTACACGTCCGACAGGCAGCAAGAATCACTTTCCAACTTGCCAATAATGGTGCACGTTGGACGCAGCAACACAACCAACGCCTCGAGATTACTCCAGAACGTGGCGTCCTCCACGATGCGGCTGAACTCAGTTTTCTTCTGTCGGGCGGACGTAGAGCCCTTGATGTCCTTAAAAACCGCCGATACAACGAATTGAGCAAGGACGCCCCGGTTCACCAGCACTCGCACTAAGCAGTTGTACTGAGTGTACCATCATGTTTGCACAACGGTTGACAGTGCACGTTAGGTTGACAGTTCCCCGTCGACATGAATGTGTTGTTGGATGCGCTCGAATCGCTTAGTCAACGCGTTCCGGTCCTTCACAAACGAAGTAACATGGCGGGCGCTTTCGAGGATGGTGGCGTAGGGTTCGAGCTTACATACGTCCTTAACCAAGAGGTTGAGCGCGTGGGCAGCACATTCATTGCATATGAGCCCGGGATACTTGGCTTCAAGTATCTTCCACGCTGCTCGCATACACGCTGCGTTGTCCGTCAACTCACCGGAGATTTTGTCGATCCCAATGGCCAACATGGCGTTTTCCAAGTCGTGCGCGATGTCTGCGACGTTTCGACTGTTGAAATGGCACTGACGAAGACTGGCTTCACGGACTTGTTCGGGAACACCGCGACAAAGTTCACCATGTGATCGTTGCGTAGAGATGTCCACCCGTCCGACACGAGGCTGATGCGAGTCTGGTCTTGAACGAGCTGGTTCATCTTGGCCATCATGTCCTGATGAGCATGATTGAGCAACGGCCCAGCGATGGCCTTGGCGGTGGGAGGTGCATACGCCGGCCGAGCAAGCTTGATGAATGTTTCCAATGCGGGGCTGTCAGCAAATCGAAATGGTATGCCAGTTGAGTAGAAAATGTCGGCGTAGGCTTTGTCCAATGTGAACTTTTCCCCAAGGGAGATGCGATCAATCCAAGCACCCATGCGTTCATGCCGTGGGGACAGAGCGGCTTCGTCGGCTTCCAATAGTCGGTTAACTTGGACAAATGCGGCGAGGGATGTATGCTTTTTTGGTTGAGGTGTGTTGACTACGTGCGGTGCTGCAGCACAGTGGTTCAAATGGGAAGTCCATCGTTGCTTGCTGTTTGGGAGCGCGTGGCTGCAATACTTGCATTTGATTGCTCTCGCCTTGCCTTTGCCGCTTTTGATCAGGTGAATGTCCATCGCTCATGTGAATGTAATTTGAAAGAGTTGTAGTAGTAGTAGTTTCAATCTTAAAACGACTGCTACTGTTCTAAAGCTGTCGACAGTTATGCTATGTGTAGTTATTGCGGTATTCGAGATCGATGTATTGTAATGTACTGTGGAATTTTACAATACAATGCAATACGTATAATTTTGTATTGTAAACACTGTACGTATTGTGTATAGGGCGCACCCTAGTAAGCACTTCATTTGCGAGCAAATTCAACAGTCCTACGAGCAATTGTCCATGGCAAGGACAGCAGACCTCGCGTCATGATGGATCAACTTCCACTTTCCAAATGTTTCAAGCCACTCGTCGAAGATGTTGGTATTTATGAACGCCTTTGGCGACGTCGTTACCATGGCGCCTTTAACAGGGCAGTCATCGAGGAAAGTGATTTTACAGCTTTGAGCGGGCAGGATAAACACGGGGGGAACAGGCGTACCGCGGGCTGCCCCGGCGACAACGATGGACAAATGGTAGGAGTCACTTTGATTCGCCATGTGCACACTTCTGGAGCCTCGTATAGCCACAACTTTCTTACTTTTTGTCTTGAAACTCGTTTCGTCAACATTGAAAATGTCACTGGCAGTACAATTGAACCGCAAGCAAGCATGAAGTAGTTTATAGAAATATTTCAGCGCTCCCTCGCGTTTGACTGAGTTGCGCCGTTAGGACAAGTTCTGAGCGAGCCTGTCGGCCAAAAATGTATGACGTTCACTGAAACGTTTGTACCACCCACGTGCAAGTAGTTGCGGTGCCTGATGCTCGACCGACAAGATCTGCGACGCTGCCGCGATGATTTCGCTGCGGTTAACGGACCACCCCGCTTGTTGCCGCACTCCAATCCACGTCGCTATGTCCTCTTTAACGTACGCGGGTAGCGTTGCCTTCGGGCCACGTATTTGGGTGGTTGACGCACCGCCTTCTTTGACCTTTTTGAGGGCCCGACAAAGGGTTCTGCGTGATATGTCAGAATCCCGGGCAACGGCGGTGATGCTCTCTCCTGCTTGAACGCGCTGGACTGCTTCCAAGGTCTTTTGGTTGACAGGTATTACTGGAAATACCGCGAAACTAAAAAAAGTCAGTAATTTTATGGTTTTAGTGGGAAAAAAGATGGACGAAGTCCATGTTTGAGGAGTGTAATATAATTTTGATCCGAATATTATCATATCCAATCATACAAGGCCAACTTGAATTATTCAGATTTTATTGGCTAAATGTTCGATAGTCTCACAATTTGGTGCCGTGTCAACAATTGATGCATTACCTTAGTTAAATGTATGTGCATATACATGAGGAATAAATAAATACATGCACAGTATATGCATATTCATGTGGAATAGATAAATACGTGTATATGCATACTCATGGGGAATAAATATATATATGTACATGCATATATTGTGCTTTGCACCTTTTTTGGCAATTCCACGGTTAAATTCATTGTTCCAAAAAATTCTCAGGCTTAAATAACCTCTAAAGTAACTTGAATAACGGTTGGGTACGTTCTTTAAAGTTACTTCATCTAATGCGAGGATTGGTTGGTTGAAGGTGACTTTATAGGCACTTTCGTAAAACAAGTCGTTATGGCGCTTGGTGCAATCAAAGGTCATGAAGCGATGCACCAAGTCGGTTGAAGTCAATGCAAGTCAATGCTCACCGACAAGCACAAAGCAGACCATATGGCTTTCGTTCGACAGTTTCTCCGTGAAGGCGCCACCGGGAAGCCCTACTCGCACGACATGTTTGACCAAGTGCACATTGACGAGAAGTGGTTTTACATTTCCAAAATCAATAGACCGTACTACCTCTGGAATGACGAGACGGTGCCCAGTCGGAAATGTCAATCCAAAAGCCACACCATGAAGGTCATGTTTTTCACTGCCGTCGCTTGACCACGATTCGACTTCAGAAGAAGGCCATGTGGAACGGGAAGATCGGGATGTGGCCGTTCGTGGCTAAGCGGCCGGCTCTGCGCAACAGCAAGCATCGAAAACGCGGCGACGAGATCACAGAGTCATTAACGGTGATGAGGGACGTGTACCGCGTGTATTTGGCGGAAAAAGTCATTCCGGCCATTCGAGAGACGTGGCCTAGCGGACGTGGCGGAACGATTTGGATTCAACAAGACAATTCCCGGCCGTATGTCAGCGTCAACGATCCCGCTGTTGCTGCAGCAGGTTGTGTCGATGGCTGGAATATCAGGCTTTATGCTCAACCGGTCCAAGGTCCAAATCTGAACATGCTGGACCTTGGCTTTTTCAACGCGATACATTCACTCCAGCACCAGACGGTCACATACACTTTCGACGACCTTCTGGTTGCTGGAAAGCAAGCATTTCAAGGCCCGGAGTCACGTGTGTTGGACAAGACTTTTATGACTTTCCAAAAAGTCATGGAGTGCATATTCAAGATGGACGGCGACAACGCGTTCAAGCTACCGCATCAAGGCAAGGACGTGATTGCCCTACGTGCTCCCCTTGTGTTCGACTTGCATGCGATGACGAGGTTTGTGCAGTCATTGATTCCATGGAGGAACGAATGGAGTTTGAACGCCGCGTTGATACTTTGAGAATGGCTGCCAAATCCTAGACGGAGATACTAGTATTGAGGCAGTGTATTCACAATTGCTTGAAGAGATGGTAATTTAGAAGTAGATAATACTTAAGCGTCATGTCATGTGGTGATCCGTCGTAGTTTCGTAGTTTTGAATAAAAATACTAGATTTGGACACATTTCTATTTAAATGCAATACAGTAATTAACATTAAATTCATATTTTGATAAAGGTATACACTTCTTTCTGGAACGGAGGAAGTACATGGGGAATAGATGAATAGATGTACTGTATTTACTTCGAAGTAGATAGCATTAATATGCATAAACAATCGACGAAACTCGTTGAAAAAAGTCCGAGTACAACCGCGACATTCAGCATCCCGACTGTTGGCTGTCTGGAGGGGTCGAACGCACGACGAAGAAGTGGTTTGGGATTCTGACATTCGACGACCGACGAAGCCTACTTTGTCCGAGTTGATTTTGAAGTATATCAAACCAGGTACCAAAGTCATGTCGGACAAGTTTGGCTCGTACGTGTCGTCGAATGAGCGGCACACCCTGGAGACCAACCCCCGGCTGTATTCATTCAAAACGTTATCCGGTTATTTCTCGCACCCAAATCGGGGCCAACACTTGACATGATTGGGTTGCTTGTCATTCATTGTGTGTGGTCAAAGGTGGTTTGGCCGTCGATGTGGGGCAATCGCTTTTCGACTGACTGAAAAATCCGGATAAGAATCCAGATTATTCTTTTCCAACACGCCTGACCGTTAAAATTCAGCGAGGATGGCGACCCACGAGCGCTATTAGAATGGAGAGACAAGGACGTGCAACTTGTGCGGAGACAGCACCGTGTCGTACAGACCGACGAAGAAGCTCAAGTACTTGATGCATCATGTGGCCAAGATGCAATTCATTGATGACATCAAGTTCCACGAGAACAAGAAAATCATCGACCCAAACAGTCACTTTCAATTTGTCTAGGGGGGGAATTTTGTGGTCTACCCAAAAGGTTGATCCTGATGTCGTCACTGGAGCTACAGGTAGATCATACACGAACTAATATATCTTTCACGAACGCAATACAAAGTACTCATGTACTGTAGAAGTGTCCGATGAACTTGACTTTGACTCAAACCTGCAAGCCCTCATGGACCTCACGGCGCCCGCAAGCACTCGCACGATCATTCAAATGTTTGGAAACTTGCATCGCAAGCTTGGAATTCCACTCCCACCTCCACCAACAGTGCCACAAAGCCACCAAGAAGTTACTCCTTCAATCGCGTCTCCTCAGGCTCCCCTATCAGTTTCTCCTGCAGTCTCGTCTCCTCGTACGCACCAGCCAAAGACAAAAAAAGCGGACGAGACTTGTTTGTTGAAGCCCAGCTATATAGCGGCAACATGTAACCGTCGATCTTAGTTTGATACATCGTCATGTTATACTCCATTAATAGTGAATTCTGATACATGTTCCACCAAAGAACTTCGTAAACTCGCAGGCGGGTTACACTTTCAGAAATTATCCGACGTTTCCGCAAAAATCAGTAACTTTGCTAAACGTTTCCGAATATTACAGAAAGGTTTAGGTATTTTCCGAAAGTTACTGAACTTTTCGGAAACTTTTTAAATTTTACGGCAAATTTCGAAATGATTCCAACAATTACGGTAAATTTCTGAAAACTTCCTAAAGTTACACTGTGAAAACAGAAAATTCGACGCAACTTCGACATGACTACTTGATTATCAATCATAGACGAATGCCTTTGATCGACTGCTCTTTGGAATTCGATTTCTCCGAGTCGGTGGTGCATCTAGTATGATATTTCAGGCATGCGGTATTACATGTCAAGTTTTTACCTTGACTAGTTGTCGATGCGAGGGCTGTTGGTGGGATGGCTGCCGGTGGTGGGACTTCTGGTGCCTGTGCAACAGCCGTAGAGGCATCGTTGGGTGGGGCGACTTGGTTTGCTCTTGCGATTTGACGTTTGCTTGCTCAACAATGACCTTGCGCAAGCAAATGAGAATAATGTCTGCACATGTATATGATATGCAATACCTTTTGATGTCCTGCGCTGACTGCTTGCGACTTGTATTTCGAGGTGGTGGTTGAACATGGTCGGTGCTGACTGAACCCAAATGCAGGGTCAACGTGCAGTGGGTGGCATTGGCACATGGAAGGAGTGTGCTGTGCCTATCGCGTGTCCCTGGCTAACTCCTGTTTCAAATGCCGCATATTAAGAATAAAAAGACGATACAAGTGATCGTCATTCACAGTCGCCTGCTCCATCGGAGCTAGGGCATTGTGAACCTTTATCACCCGGACATTAACCTTTGGTGGGATGGCCACAGCCTGATGCATGTCGACGGTAAACGTTGCACATCCTGCCGCTGGTGCTAGTACATACGTAGCCGCAGACGTTGGTGCAGGAATTCGGTGATGGCCAGCAAGGTTCAATCGCTCCAACGCTGTTGCATACAGTGGATGCTGGGACAGATGCCATCGCAAGGGAAGATTGCAGACTGCAAATAGAGATCGCTCGTGCCTCAGAAATACATATCTCCTGTCAATATACCATATGCTTCTAAGAGCGAAACTACGGTGAACGTACTATCGCAACACAGGTATTAGCCTTGACCTGAAGCCAAAGCAAGTACATTCGTCGCTGGCGCCAAGAGTTACGCAATGCGCTACGCTTGCCATGACGACGAAGAAGTGTTCCGATACGCCCCACACGTCACCTTGCTGTTGCACGTGTGGATACTTGTGTATGTCATCATAGTTTTGCTTCCACTGCCTGTCAACGTACAGTAGGGCGACCACAAGCATTCATTTTGGACGCACGAAATTAGCTCGTCCAGCGCCAGCGTCTGTTGGTGTTCATAGACTTTTAGCAGATGAGACGTCAGCTCAAACATATTGAACCGCCGCAACTCTCGCTTCTTTGTAGGCCGTCGGTAACAACCTAATAGAGAGTGTGAGAACATATAATCCTGAATTAAAGTACTGTAGCGTTCTCCGAGTACTCGAGTGCGATCCCAACAAGAGTGCTGCGGCCGAGGGCGTCCAATCGTAAACGGCATGAGGTTCATCACGTACTTGGTGACATTGTGTGTGCCGACGCACAGAACAAAGTCCGAGTACAGTGCACTATACTTGGTCATCGAATCACTCTAAAAACATACAAAATGAATGTTAACCATAACAAAAAAATTCAAAACAAATAATTGTACTGTACTTGTAAGTAGAAACTTTTTAACTTTAACAGTGGGTCCATGTCAAAAAAGACAAATGACCCACCACTAGCCTTCACCCCGAAGCACAAGTTGAAAATTTTTGTCATGCTGTCGTTGTCGCACCAAACAAACATGCGCCGTCCACGTTCCATGATGCGAAAGTGCAGGGAAGTGGAATGGACACGGCCTGTGTTCTGAGACTCAAATATCTCCCACACCTTTTGTGTTGGAACATGTGGCGGCCCAATCCGTGAATCATGTCAACCTCCGCTGGGGTCAGCTGTCGCTCGTACTTCACAAATCGTTTTGCCGTATCCTGTAACGGCCTGGTTCTCAATTGGGTACTAGTATGAGTCTCCATACATACTTTTGCTATAACATAACAAAGCAGTTCACGATTATAACACAACTTAACAAACCAACCTCACGGCGTCTTGACGGACTTGTTAGATTTGTCCGCAGGGGTATTCCAGTTGCAGTAGAGCGTAGCGCGGTAGAGAATCCCGACCATATCCTTATGAATAGGTTGCGTTGTATTACTTGAGAGCTTTGACCAGTACGGCAAACCGTAAAATCACAAGTCTGCCCCAGGCCTGGATACGTTCGGTGAATGCAATGGCATCGCCAAGCAGGTCGCCAGGCTGTAGCTGGCGCTCTGGTCCTGCGTCACAACCCTGGTCGGTTTCGGAATCAGAATCGATGCCTTCGTCCTCGCCACCGGAACTGTGTGCAAGTGGCCATCGGACGGCATGGTTAGACCCCTGGCTCCGTCATCGGAAGAGACATCTGACTCAACTGCGTCCAAGTGGGGGTGCTGGTGGTGGGGGATTGATCTGGGGGTGGCTGCTGCATGGAGATTGCAATATGACGGCCTTTTGTAAGCACATACCAGTAACGATCCGGGTAATACGACATGGTTAACCGGATAATAAGTTATAGTTATCCGTATTATTCAGTGAGTCTAGCCGATTAACAGTACTTACTGTTATTGTGCTTTCCACCCAATTTGCCCATTGTTTTATCACAAATCAATGGATGTCAAATATAAAACCACACGTTAAACAACGCAAACCGTGGGTCTGGCACTCGAGCTAAATAAAGCCCGGTCGTTACTCACTGGAGCATCTCACTGACAAAGTGGTCGACCGACACCAGCATGCAGCGCGAACGCTTGACCGTCGAGTTCCCGGAGAACTTTCGGTGCCACATCACTACCAAGGTAGGTAAACCCTTGGGAAAGAGTAGAACGAGCGTTGGCAAGCCAACCGAACTCACCGTGGCCAGCGACACGACGTTTGGTGTTGTGTCTGCCCTGGTCGTTGACAACGTCTCCGCTGCGATTGCCGACTACCACGCCGACACATCGAATGCCAAGCTCCTGTGGGACCCACAGGTTCCAACGGAAGTGTATGTAAAGGTTGCAGCCAACACGACCCATGATAAGTACACCAAAGTCACACTGGTAAACTACAACGATGTTCTTCGACAAGTTTGGGATAACGCAAGCAAAGTACGCAATGCCCAGGCATCGTTCACATTGGAACTCTGAATGATATGAATACGTCAAAATTTTGTCGAGATTATTCACATATTGTAATTTACGAAATAGAAAAAGACATATTGTAATTTACGAAATAGAAAAAGACATCAGCACGGCGATAAGACGTGCAACCTCGAACAACCTCGTGACTGCGGCAGTTCGCGTTGCAGGATACATTGAGGACCAGAGCCTGGCCCTTGGCCCGCTCCAAAGCGACTACGTTACTGTCGTGACGGCTCGTTTGCCGCCGTCCGCCCCCGTCGAAATCCCGACAAATGCGACGATGCAACAACTCGGTCACATTGATGTTATGGCTGCTCGTCATGCCGACGAACGCCGGCACGAAATGAATTCCCAGACCACGGAAAAGTACCGTAGGGTTCGTGTTCGTTTTGGCACTATGGCCAGCGCCCCAGTGGATTGTTTTCTGTTGGTCGAAGACCTTCGGAGCATTCTAGGAATTCCTCCATTTGACCTGACGCCATCCTATCGCGAACCATTTGTGGGGGAAGTTGTCGGTCCAAGTGTCAACATGGATGACATTGATCACATTAATCTCTAGTAATGTCAATCAATTTGCAAAACAATTCGAACAATTTTACATTAGCCCGCTTTCGAACAATTTTACATTAGCCCGCTACATTGGCCCGCTCCAAACCGACTACGCTACTGTCGTGACGGCTCGTTTGCCGCCGTCCGCCCCCGTCAAAATCCCGACAAATGCGACGATGCAACAACTCGGTCACATTGATGTTATGGCTGCTCGGCACGAAATGAATTCCCAGACCACGGAAAAGTACCGTAGGGTTCGTGTTCGTTTTGGCACTATGGCCAGCGCCCCAGTGGATTGTTTTCTGTTGGTCGAAGACCTTCGGAGCATTCTAGGAATTCCTCCATTTGACCTGACGCCATCCTATCGCGAACCATTTGTGGGGGAAGTTGTCGGTCCAAGTGTCAACATGGATGACATTGATCACATTAATCTCTAGTAATGTCAATCAATTTGCAAAACAATTCGAACAATTTTACATTAGCCCGCTTTCGAACAATTTTACATTAGCCCGCTACATTGGCCCGCTCCAAACCGACTACGCTACTGTCGTGACGGCTCGTTTGCCGCCGTCCGCCCCCGTCAAAATCCCGACAAATGCGACGATGCAACAACTCGGTCACATTGATGTTATGGCTGCTCGGCACGAAATGAATTCCCAGACCACGGAAAAGTACCGTAGGGTTCGTGTTCGTTTTGGCACTATGGCCAGCGCCCCAGTGGATTGTTTTCTGTTGGTCGAAGACCTTCGGAGCATTCTAGGAATTCCTCCATTTGACCTGACGCCATCCTATCGCGAACCATTTGTGGGGGAAGTTGTCGGTCCAAGTGTCAACATGGATGACATTGATCACATTAATCTCTAGTAATGTCAATCAATTTGCAAAACAATTCGAACGAATTTACATTATAAAAGTTTCTTGGTCTAGCGCTGTAGAATCATACCCGCAATGGCGATACAAATTGTATCCTATGTGCTCACTTTTTTTTGTGCATTCTACAAACGCCACTCTAGTACAGCACGGATATTGAATCGAAATGCCATGAGATACTTGTCAATCCAGCGCTTCAGCAAACTAAATCCCACCTCAACAGGATTTAGCTGCGGAGAATATGGTGGCAGAAAAAATAGCAATGCTCCACGACTATGAACTGCATCTTGGAGCTCCTTGTACATGTGGATTTTTGCGTTGTCCAAAACCAAAATTGAACGCGGCAGCGGCCACGGGTTCAAGTACGGCAGAATATTTTTGACCATGACGTCATGAAACGTAGCACGATCAAATGTTCCTAAATTATGCAAATAAATAAATAACAAAAAGGACAAAAATAGGCAAATATTATACCGTCCACATAATCCCACGCTAAAAATCCGGACGTCGTAAATGCCGCAAGCGCTGACACCCGCTGGTCACGAGAAAATGGCAACTTTACAATTGCCTTTTTGTTGCGCTTCGACCAAGCGTACTTGCGAATCGAATCGCGTCCGTCCTTGGAAGTCTCGCCGACAAACACGAGCTGGTCGGGGTACGAGTAGTACGGGCTCAGTCGCCGATAGTAATCACGCAACTCGAAATCTGCAGATTCACGCGCTCGTCGTTCTAAGACTAATATACAACGAATAAACACTGGAAATATATTCGAACATTAATACCTTTTCGCGTCAAACCTAAGTCATGCATGAGTGCTCTACATATCGTTGCCGCAGATACATTCTTGAGCGTCGGGAATTGGTGTCGCAGAGCGTCTTCAAGCTCTTCGATGTAGAAACAAGGGTGAACTGTTGCGTACTCGTTCACCCAGGCATTGACCTCCGCCGGCCAGCGTGACCCTGTCGACCCTGTCGAACGCGTCTTCAACTGGGTCACATTACCAGTAGATGTAAACATCGTGTTGAATCTGGTTGCGCTACGCCGTGACAGCCCGCGTAGGACGCGAACGATGTCAACGTCAATGCCGTATACTTGGACAAGCACAACACATCTCCAACGCATGTCGATGCTGATCATTGTAAAACAAGTTGAATACTTCCTCCGTTCCAGTATACTTGAGTGACATTTTTTTGGTTAGTGAATATATAGAAATTTGTATTCAAAATATGTACTATTCCATGTGGTACGTGTATTAATATTCAAAGTCTGATTTGCACGACGAGCTAATGCATGACATGCTACACTACTTCAATTCCATCATTTGCGCCAGACCCAGAAACACCAGAATCTAGTAGTCCTACAATTTCACCGACGTGCTGCTCGTCTTCCAAGCGGCTCTCCATCGACTCAATAGCTAAAAGCACATCCTCATCACACGAAGGACGAAGCTCAGTCACCCTTGTCTTGAACTGCATGTCTTTCTTCAGATGAGGCAGCTTGTAAACATTGTCGCCACTGCTCCTCATTGCTTCTTCCATGACCTTTTGCAAAGTCATAAACGTCTCGTCCAGAACTCGCCACGCAAGATTCTCGAACGCGTCTTCAACGCACTTGATCAAATCGTCGATGGTTCTTGCTGTTGTCTGATGCTGCAAGCTCTGAATTGCATTGAAAAACCC